TGTGTAGTATAATGTAGAACATACACATGCCATCATCTGTCGTGAAAAAATCTTGATATCTAGATGTCTGGTTGCAAGTGGCATCATTATTTTCCGAGGGTCGTATACTGCCTACGGGCATCACATTTGACATGACTGCTCCACATAATGATGTTAGTAATTTTAAAGGTTATGTGTTTCGAGTTTTGGATTATCAAACAACATTATTATATTTGCAGAAAGTTATGTGTAATAAGCTATCATACGGTATGATTTTTTCGACATCTTACACAAAAACTACATGATGAATGGTTTATTCGTGAACTAAGTTTTACGGTTAAAGTCAAAGTCAAAATTATCTTTATTTAAAGTATACACTGTTGAATGTCAGGATACCACAGTAAGTTAAATTTTTCGAGTTGATTTAAGAGTCTTTCTTCAAAATATTACGGTTTAAAATCAAGTGGAAAAATTTGACAGATTTGTATACTGTACTTTGAATTGTAAAACTTTTTCACCTAGCACCTGTTTGGGGCGTTTTTTGGCTAACAAGAAATGAGCGAAAGAACTCACCAACTCTAGTAGAAGTAACGACATTAAAAATATTTGGTTTATTTGGTACGTGTCATAATCAAATAAAATGGCGATCACCTTGTCTTGTATAATATTCCACCAAAAACATCCTGTAAAAAAACTAGCTAAGTCTCGATGGAACTGCTCATTTTTCTAAAAAAGTAATGAAATCTCTAAGCAAAGTCAAGTGGAGTCTAAAGTTCTTTATAGTTAGATTTTATGTGATCGACCGTTGAACATTATTTATGCACATTTACATGTAGACACATACAAGTCAACGACAAAGTCACATAAAATCTAACTATAATAATGAAGAAATTGCATTAAAAATCCTCAGACTCAGCTTGAATTTGCTTAGAGATTTCAAAATAATTATTTAAGATACGAGTGCGGAAAGTAAGGTTTTATGAATAAGGGCCAAATTGAAAACACGAGCGTAGCGAGGGTTTTCATTGGCACGAATTCGAAAAACCTTTTACGCCCAAGTTTCTTACAACAGTATTCAATGCTTTTTGCGAGGAAATTAAACAAATATTTAGGTTAATAAAACTAAGCATGTATTAGGTAAAGGTAAAAATTATTTGTTAAAATTAAACGTGAAATTTGAACATGTTTTCGTGTCATACATTTTTATTTGAAAATATTCGTTCTAGGCTCCTTAAAATACTTTTGCCTCTAAAGTTTGACATATTTTCATCATTTTTTTTTTAATTTCTTTGGTGTTCGGCCAAAAAAAATAAAAAATACTTTTAAGCACGTGTGCAGTAAAGGATATCAGTACATTTTTATTTAACACGTGTTTAAAGACTCACTTTTGGTGTTTACAATGCATTAAAAAAATAGCGCTTTATGCGTAACTGCATTGAAAAAGTTTTTAACACCAACAAAGTATAACAACTTTTAATATCAACAAGCTATTTTGTTAAGGAGCATTCTTATAGGCTCTTTATAATACCAATATGCACACAAAGTAAAGCAACAATCGCACTGATTAATGATCACCCAACGAAAAGATCATTAGAATGCAATCCTAAGTTATTTGTCTATGAACAGAGATTTGTCTAGCGATGAGAATGATTTATCAAATCAATAAACAAATAGTATTCTTTTCAAAACACTAACAAAAGATTTTATATTTACTTTGCTAGATTTGTGTAACAGGAACAGAGATTAAGACATTAGAATGTTTTACTGCTTTTATCTATAAATATTGATATATTCTTTAATATTCATATATTTCAATGATTTAGTTTGATAAATCATATATTGTTACAATTAAAATATGATCAAAAAACTATAATTCCATCAAAGTTATTTCGAATACTAGAAAACAACAAAAGCACTGGATAAAGAAATAAATTACAAACAATAAAGCGTTCTTATAGTTGTGTTAATTTTAACTGTTTTAATTTTGCTATCATAACAATAGCATATCTACTTTTTTATTTTCCACATTAGTCCACATATTTAGATATTGTGGATGGTGAGCAATGTATCTTCTAGATCCGAAATGAAGCTAAAGATTGCAAAATTATGGTCACCCATCACAAGGCTGACCTTTGCGAAAGTTACTTAACTTCCGCAATTGCAGACTAAACTCGATAACTATTGCGTCAATAAGCTCCTCGTCTTAGATAGGTTGATGCACACCTTCACATTCCACTGTCCAGGCAGTTGTTGATATTCTAAATAGTATGTTTCCAATAGCATATTATATTGAATATTAACAATAATAATATACCTTTAGTTTAAACACAACACATAATTTGATTTTCTTTCAAATTTCCTGGTAAGTCATAGGGATAAAAATCACGAAAAGATTTAGAGCTTTATTAGACCTCTAATCCTCAAATCCTAAAATATCAAGCTACGTCCTATCTTTGGTTAGTAACAGTTATATATGCGACAATCTGTTGATCAGTCACTATTTGGTGCGCAGAATAACATGGACATTGATGTCCCATTCCATTAATCCAAACATTAGCTACTCGTGACTTTGGTGTGTAGCCTTGAAATGCCGATGCTCTACCCGAGATACGGAAAACGTTTTTAATGCGAGTAACCGCATTTTTATTATTTTAATTTGATAAAGTTAATGTTCAGAGTACTGTATTTATAATTACCTTAAAGAAAATATCCTAAACACCGTCTCGAGCACATAAGGCATCGGTTTTTTTATTTGTAGTCGATACGTTTAGCCTTTTCATGTCAGCAAAATACTAATAATATAGAGAGGAAAGATTTTATTGATATTCTGTTTGTATAAACAAGGCTCCGACTCTACTGCACTGATTTAAAAAAAATATTTCATCTATGATGACGAATTCGAAAGAATGATAAAAAAAAATTATTCCGCATCCCTTATACTCTTTAAATTAATTTATGTCTATGTGTTTGGATGAATATTCATTCCTACATAAAGATGTGTAAGATAGGAAGACTAGATTTCTATGGTAGATGACAAGATATAAGAATCATCAACATTTTATGACATAAAATTATATATTTCCTATATGTTTGTATAATCTCAAATGTGATAATAAGTGTATAATTTAATTTGCAATGTTGCAATTTACTTGACTGTGATATAATTTAAAATACTTAATTTATTTGACATTTCTACAATGACTTGACTTGCATGATTTATACCTTTGTATTTAATTTGAAATGCTTATTGTAAAAGATTTCCCGATTGTAACTTTCTGAGTTATATGGCCATTAAATGATTTGATTTGATACATCATACGCGAATGACATAGACTATGATTTACGTGGATTAAGTAACAGAAAAACAGCACTTCAGCTGTTTAATATATTTGTCGAATTTCTGCTGTTTGTGTAGATTGCTTTAATATAGAATATGCTCACAAGTAATGAAAGTAACAAGTACTTGAGTTTGCCAGTCTCATGAATGTCTTGGGTAACTCAATCAGTAAAACAATAGGTAATAAAAGGATATTTATCCGTAAAATAACAATAATCTGCAATTTTGCCATCTATCTAGAAGTTGATGATACTCAAGATTGTTATCATTACTTATTTATTAGACATTTAGCGTGATTTAAACATTACACTTGATTAAATTAGATTAAAATCTCCATATTTAACGCAACACTAAATGAATGTCAGAATGAAAAATCTTTTGATTCGGAATCTATCAATTGGTTTAAAAAAAAAAGAAAAATATGAATCGAGGAAAGAAAATAATATTCAGAAGAAAAAAAAAACTAACATAAACAGATAGTAAAACCAAATATGTTGCATTAAAAAAATAAAAGTAGAATCTTCCTGATAAAGTATGTGTAGCTGAGGTAAGTCTCCTTATAACTAGTGACATTTTTTTATTTGTAACATGTATTCAACAGGGAAGTGCTAGCCTCACCCGTCAATACCTCTTGGACACCGTCTGTAACGTCAATGTCCCTAACAGTTTAACAATCTGTGTCACATTCCTTTTGTTGATTTCCAAATGGAAATCCAGAGATTAAATCACATAATTTTACCTTTCAAATTTCAGGTTTCTTATTAGAATTTTGATCAATAATTCCTGCACCATCGATATATATATATATAGTGCAGTAATTACGGCTGTGACGTTGATAATGATAAAAATATAAAATAACAATATCGACAAATTCTCCAAGCTTCGAGAGGCACGTCTTTGATACCGGCATCTGCAGTCGTTAGTGCCCATTATCCCTACTTTATAAATAGAAACTTGAAATAAGTTTTTTTCATATATTGAGGTCGTCAATTTTGCCATTTTTTATGTACTTATTTTTAAGTAGAATGGAAAAGAGGGTGATAAAGTTTATGTTACGACATATCTAAAATTTAGGAATACAGACTAAGGTTCCCAAATATCTAACGGTAGGGTTCCAGTAGTAAAATGACATAAGAACCACTCATAAAATTACAGCTCGATAGAAATTTCAACGGCATTAAATATTCAAATTTCAAATCTTGACAAAAATGTCGTACGAATGAGAAGTAAGTTAATGTCCACACCATGTCTTAATTTCTTTCACCTTTGTGTTGATCAAAAATAATAAATGCATGAAGCTTAAACTAAACGAGATACCACTATTACTGCCGGTTTCGGAAACATCATCTGACTACACTAATAAGCGGCCATGATCGAAAATTATCTAAAAACAATCCAAAGGTTGTAGGTACATATTTGCGATACCTTTCATTCGTAACTAATTAAAGAATGTTTTTTTTTGCCATTCAATATTCGACCTTGAGAATCCCGAAGTGGTTCTCATTATACGGATGTATACCGAAATGTATGTATGATAAAGAAAAAAATGAGCATCTGTCAAGGAAGAGTGGTGCACCGAGTGATATGAGCATTGCATAGCAATGACCATGATACCATTTTCAGTGCTCCGTAGAGATGAACGACTGTGTGGAGGTATATAACGCGCGCATCTTCTCCCATCGTCACAGTTCACCGGCAGCCTGCCAATACAACACTCCTGTACTTATTTATTTTAATAAAAAACAATTATAACAATGAAATTGGTAAGTTACAGGATTGAAGTCTCTTTCGGATATCCATTTTCTTTGAGTTTTCTGAATATTTATATTCCTGAAGGAATAAAAAAACTACGCAGTTTAAAGTCACTATTAGAAAGCTTTACATTTAAGCTTTTACATAAACTTCCATTATCTTAATTGAAAAAACTATCGACCTCTTTAAACATGTCAAATGGCCGAGTTATTTTACACTCAATATTTTATCGATGCATGTAAATGATTTATAATGCTTTGAAGATAACACTTTTAAAAATTTACATTTATCGATTACATTCACTTTGCGGTTCTATGGATTTAATTTTTTTTTTAATCTGTGATACTCTTAATATGAATTTATTTAAAATTGTACTAAAGTTTGTCTCAGGGCCAATTAAGCAAATTCATATTCTTCCCTGTTTTAGCTCGTGGTTGCTGCCGTTCTTGGAGTCTGCTTGGCTGACCGCCTGGACAACAAATACCTCCCTCCCAGAGGTAATCAAGGAGCTGGCTACAGTGGCAACAGCGGCTTCGGCCAAGGCCCTACCGGTTTCGGTCAAGGTGGTGCCGGTTTTGGCCAAGGAAGTGCTGGTTTCGGCCAAGGTGGTGCCGGTTTCGGCCAAGGTGGTGCCGGTTTCGGCCAAGGAGGCTTCGGTCAAAAGGGAGGTTTCGGACAGTCTGGATTCGGTGGTCAAGCTGGTTTCGGCGGTGCTCCCAGTAACGCTTATGGAGCTCCCGGTAGCCGGTCTAATTCAGCCGATGCTTCAGCTCAAATCCTAAGACTGAACAGTGACGTCACCGCTGAAGGATTCTCCTATGACTTCGAAACCTCCAATGGAATCAGAGCCGATGCTTCCGGAGTTGCCACCAATGGCGTCCAGTCCCAAGGAAGCTTTGCCTACAAGGGTGATGATGGCCAGGATTACAGCATCACTTACACCGCTGACGAGAACGGATTCCAACCCCAGGGTGCTCATCTCCCCACTCCTCCCCCGATCCCAGAAGCTATCCTGAAATCTCTGGAACAGAACGCCCGCGATGAAGCTGCTGGCATCAGCGATGATGGTAAGTGATCACTCTTTGTAAATTTCTTTTTCAATATATTTCTTGATATTATTATAACCAAATAATGCAGACCAATTTTCTACCTATTAACATTTAGTTCTTAATTTTTCATTTTCAAAATATCCTTCAATTAATTCAAAACGGATTCCTTGGTATTTATAAAATTATATCTAATGCTATAAAGCTTTCATTAAATGTTACAATTCCTAATTATGGAATCGCTAGTCTTCTCATATCATTATTATCGAAAAATAAACTAGTTCAATTAATAATAATTGCATTGATCAAACAACATTACGTGCTTTATGTCTTACCGCCTAATTTATAAAAAACCTAGATATATTGCACAAAAAATCTGAGTACCTATGATCAGCCATCGTAACGACTTCCATACAAATGACCCTAAATTAGCAAAAAGTTTGGTAACAATTCCACTAGTGGTTTATGATTTGGTCGCAGTGTAACCTTGCTTTTTACGTACTTCTAAATTTATTCATATGAGGATAGTTCATCAAATTTTAAAGTTTTCGCGATTAACCACATGCTAATGTAATTTGATAATAGAAAAAAACGGAGCAAAGATAAATATAACATTTTTTATAAAAATAAGGGAACTTTAACTATATTCTTAACCATTTGAAAATTTACTGAAGATAAGAGATAATTTGAGGCATCAATGATCAGTGTACTATTTATTTGAGGTTATATATCGAAATGTAACCATTTGCCAAACGTGATTCCATAAGTTATTGTGTTAATTGAAATTATTACTCCTACAAGCATCTTCACCGATAAATTACACCTTAGTCTACAAGTGAGCTGATTAGTTGCAAAATGATGTGAGGCCGTTGCATCAGCGTCGTGACTCTAGTGCTTAAGTTAGGTTCAGATCAGTTTATAGGTAAAATTCGGGTTAAATGTTTTATAATTTGGAATATTATATATCATCAAATCTTTTAATTCCTTAAAGTATATATCTTTATTTAAACTTTGGTTTGTGAAATAGTATATATTATTATTAAATTCATCTAAGGTTACAACCAATCCTAGAAGAATCTTGAAATAAATAAATAGGTCTGATTTTTTTACTAGTTACTAGTATCTAATTCTACTGATTAGTAAAAAATAATCTAATAAAAAACCATATCCACATTAACTTCACTTCATAGCCAAATTTTCATCTTTAATTTACTAAAACACGTAACAAAAAACTCTTTGTCTTTCTTAACAAGCCTGTAGCTGTTATTGATATCGTGTTTCTTGATTAACAGTGAACTCTGAAATGAATGGGCATCCTGATTCTTTACAATTGTTAATTGCATATTTTAAGAAAATAATGTTTTTGATACGACTGCATTCATATGCAGAAATATTTATCATTTCAATATTTAAAAAATGCTCGTTGATCTGAACTTGTTAATGGATGGATCATTAACAAGTTAACTATTCATTAATTAAACGTAACATCAAAAGAACTCACCATTTTTAGAAATATTCATTGTTTGAGCTGTGGTAGCCAAATGGGGATTATCTAATATGTGGGCTCGATTTAAAATTAAATAACGCTTAGCTTCAAGCCAATGTTTGCCAGTTATAGAAATGTGTTGTAAGATATAATTATTTTTTCATAACATAGCTCTATCATTGTAAAATATAATGGACAGCAGTTTATTACACCTTATTAGACGCGTAATTTCGGATTTCAAAATATATTTATTAAGTTAGCATTAATTGTAGAATTCAGTCATATATAGAGTATCCCCCATAATCAGTTTTAAGAAATTGTGAATTTTTATGAGAATCTTATTTTACTTATATTTGATAATGGCATAATACTCTTATATACACTTGTACAGTTTGTTTGCACGCGCACTATTCATTAAATAAACTCTACGGTGTGAAAACCAGGAACGAACCTACAGTTTGTGTTTTTAAACCAAAAAATGTTAATGTCGTATCTGTGAAAATAATATAAAAAAGAATCATTTCGGCTCTGAAATAAAGCGTGGTGGAAATGTATAATCTAGGAAACCTACGAATTCAACTAATTTGGCACGAGGAATTGATAAATTACAAAAAGCCTATAATAAATTCACTCACTAAGATCAGAAGACACATAAATATTTAACATTACGTCTTGAAATACCTGCATTGCAACTGAATTTTAACAGCTTTCGAATTCAATGTGCTTTATGCCTCATTACATATATTTGTCACTTCCCCAAGTAGTACATGGTATTGACGGAGATTGTATTTTCGCAATTCTGAATTATTTTGTTGCAAAGTGGTATTTAGGTTACTAATAGATATTTTTCAATTGACCTACCATCAAAGAAAATAATTCATATACACTCAAGAGATTTCACTAATTCGTTTTCGATTTTGTCGAATCAGTTGGCTTGAAACTCGGACAGTCCCTTTTATATTTCACTTGAAACTAATCAAGCAATCCAATATTACCTACAATTGAAAATATTATAACTCTAAAAAATTTATTTCTGCCTAAAAGTCCGCATTTATGAAATTCCGTATGTCTACATCAATCATAGTTAAATGATATTTCTCAAGTCGTATTTTTATGTACTTTATGACATGCCACACAATTTCAACTTCTTTAATGAACTCACTTACACCATCTACCAGGTCTGAGGGGCATATAATTCACTTTGATAAGGTCACATCAAGTTTTGTTACACTAACCGTCGAGTGTACTAATTTATTCCAAACTCTTATGGGATTTAAGGTTATCTAATTCCCACGATATACAAATAGCACGTTTATTGGCATCATCTTAATCCCAAGTTTTATTAGCTCGTTGCATTGAAGTTTCGGTATAGTTCTCGTTATCCTATTAATATTATAAATATGGAAGTTTCTTTATTTGGCTGTTTGGATGTTTGTTCTTCAATCACGCCGAAACTACAAAACAAATTTTGATGAAATTTGGTATACAGATATGTTATTAGTTGACTTAGATAATAGGATACTTTATATCGCACTAAACGTTTCCTTAGGGACCAAGCGGGCGAAGCCGCTAGCGAAAGGTAGTGAGTAATAATGGAACTAACTACTAATGTGAAATTCAACGGATACCAAGTAGTTGCATAATATGTAATAATTTTTCGATTCATTAATTCGTTTAAGTTTCTTGTGAAATATCTTCTGTGTTCATCAAATTAAGAGCTTTAGAAGTTTATGATTCGATAACACTAAACGCATCCTCTTGTATTGCGCAGGAGTGCTGTAAATCAACAATAAATAGTGCAACATCCATCTTGTGTAAACATTAATTTCTCGCATTCATGGCCTGAAAACGCTAATGGCTAGCCAGGGATGGATAGACTGCAATCTCGATATTAATGACCAGGTATAATACCTCCATCTAGGTAATCTCACTTACGACATGCAAGTACAGGATTAGGTTTTGGGTTAACAACAACAACTTTGTTACTATGGTAGTAATATGGTAGTCTTTAAATTTATCTTTTAAAATAATTTACTGTAAAATCAAATTTTATTTCGGATGAATAAATATTTTAATTTGGTTGCTTAATTAAAACTATTGCAAACGTTTTCTAGTAATATGATTATCGTTTCAGAATCTAAGATAATAATGGTAATATTGAAACGGCTGTACTGTTCGACCTACATCATCATTAATTCTTACGTAATTGGTGCTTCTTGAGTTTACGTTCTATAATTGGTTACGTTTTACGTTTTACGTTTCTATAATTAGTTACGTTCTATAATTTTGATGTTTCTCGCATATTTTATAAAAGTACTGTTGCAGTTACAAGATTGGCATTTGGTTTGTTCAAGTATTATTCGAGAAGAAATATTAACATAGTAATTTAGGGTTATCAGTTTTTATAGTATTTGAAACGAAATATCATCTAAATAGTACAGCCAGAACCTGATAATTTTCTACTGTTTCGGTAGCATAATAAATATCTAAATGAAAAAAAAAAACATCTATGCATATTTGAATCTTAAAAGTTCTAAAGCATAAATCAAGCGCCGCTCAACTATTCAAAGTAGATACTGTTTTCAAATATTTGTTACAAATTTTAAAAGTAACTTAATGTTAAGAAATATAGAGTTCATTATTATATAGATAATCTTTAACGTCTGCAACATCATAAAAGCGTGAGAATGAGGAACTATAACAAAGGATTGACTAACTTTAAAAGAGATTGATAAAAATAATAGACATTTATAATTTCTTCTGAATATGAGAATAAAAATGTAGAAAAATACAGATAACTAAAACTTAATAAGAGTTGAATAAGTATTATTTCAAAACAAGAGGAAGACAATAATATCACTGTAAAACCTTTAGTTTCAAGAGTAGAGTAGGCGCTATTACAAGATAAATATATTATTGAACAGCCTACAGTGATTATATATTTTGCAACATAGCACGACGATTATTCAGACAACTTGCTAATTTAAATTGCGGCATAGTTTTTTCTATGCTTACATCTTGATAAAAGATAGCACAACATATGTTAAAAGTTGCTTAAGCATTGTTAGATGCTCCTTATGTAACAGGTCAATCTTTAAAATATGTTATCTTCGCAAGTGAAGACAGTTGCTATTATTGTAATGTTTATATTTAGATTTAGATTTATAGATGGTGTAATATTTTGTTTTATAATGGTATTCTGTCTTTCGTACACAATCATCAAAAAAAAACGAATATCAGATTCAGATAAAAGTTATATAAAATTCTAGGATAGTTATGGTGGCAAAATATTATACATACAGTTGGTATGCCTGCTTTGATTTTATGGTGAACCATTGCAATGAGATACGAAGAGATATGATACCATTTTAAATATTATAGCAGATGATTTACTGAATTTCTTTGACCCAGCAGTGAATCGAAGTACTTATTTTGTCATCGACAGTTTATTAAAATTTAACGGTTATTGAAGTCATATCAATAATTTAACTTTACTTTTCTGTTACTTTTATATACAAACACAAATGACTGTAAATGTTATTACGACTGCTTGTTTCAAGACTTTGTCTCCAATGCATTATTTATATCCTATTCATTTTCTTTCAAATGATATTGAACGGTCAATACAAACACCGAATGTCGATTGTTATAAACTTTATCGTTAAAGTGTAACAAGAAGTTAACGACTATATAAGTTCGCCATTCGCTCTCGATCGTGACCTTGCGAGCTTTCGGATGAGACTATAAAAGTAGAGCCTCTAAAATAGCGGATGCGTAAATACAAATAATATAATTTATATAGTGAATTGAATAGTTTCTTTTTTTTTTTCAAAATTAAATTATTTCATAACGCTTTCAGTAAATTAATTCTAATTTTGTACTAAAGGTAATCTGGACTTAATTTTTTTGCATATTTGAAGAATTTTATCAAAGTACATACTTAAAAATCTCCACTCAAAACATACAATTTTTTCATCAGCTACAAATATTTATTTCCTTTTTATAATTGGTGAGGATCTATTTTTATTCATGATAATTCCAACAATATACTAAACCCCAATAAGAAGTGATAGCTTGTGAAATTCGTAAAGTAATTTTTAATATAGTTTACTTTTTTAACAAAGCCCGCTCTTTTTGTAGCCCGCAGTTTAAGCGGACATGCACACGTGCGTGATTGCGGTTGCGCAAGTGTTGCAATTGAATCGTCTGAGTAGTACCTGCCCCGATCATTATGATATCGTCTCACGATCGTGTAGTCGCATACCATAACCAAGTGTCATCTGAAAGACTGACGTCAACATTTGTTTGACACGAATTTAATTTGTTTTTGTTTCCACAATTGAAGAGAATAACGTATTAAAAAACGTCTTTAAACTACATCACGAATTTTTAAATTAAATTTGAATCTTCTCTATCAGAAAATGTCTTTTAATAGCACAAGTTTTTTATTCTCAAATTGTGATCTCATTGTTCCATATCCATAATTTGCTATAAAATTGAGATGGTAAACTAATGTGATTTTTTACATCCAATTGATGATCGTTATAATGTTTTCCTTATTAAGGATGAATCTTTTTTCTTAGTTCAGAGCAGGCATACCTAATGTATTTGTGTTAATATATTTGTTAACCTTCGCGCTTTTTACATTCTAGTACTTACAGTGAACATCAATTAAAAGATCTCTCGGTTAATGTGATGTGGCGGACGATCATTAAAATTGTATTATGGATGGGTCTTCTTAAACGTTTGAGAAAAATGTTTTTACTAAATACAGTCATATTAGATCCTGGCAAATGTAAATGTGGGACTCGTGTATTTTAATTATTGGCAGTAGATAATTTGTTTCTACAAGGTTATTATAATTTACATGCAGTCATCAGACAGGGCACAGGGTGTTGTCTATTAAGATGCTTCCGAAATTTCAACATTATCCAAGGTAATGTGGCTCGCACGCCGGCTTCAAGGCGTCGCCATCTCTGCGGTCCCTGGATTGATACTGGATCGGGTCAATGTAAAAAAATATTTTTTTCATTTTGTCAGGTCTGGGTTATGTTATACCTTAGTTGTTTCAGATTTATAAAATAATAAATTCGTATATAGGTATTTAGTCTTCACAATAGTTTCTTTTTAGTACAATATAGGAATTACAATTTTTCATATATATACCCTTACTGTAAAGAGCTGATGCCTGAAATAGGTCTTTTTTACAAAACCCGTTACACAGGTCACCAAAATATAAGTGGTTTAGTTATATGGCGTTTGAGCAATATATGTGTATAGTCTATCTAATATTTGTTAATGAAATCGTCATATATGGAAATTCATCTTAATACTGATGAAACCCATAATAAAGTTACTTGCAAAAAATCGAGTCATTAAAATACGATTAACAATAAAGAGCTGACGGCGACAATGTTTAGATTAAGAAAGATTAAGCTAAGCACTTGACGTTTAGATACAGACAATTATTTTCATTGTTACAGGCTCTTACCGCGGTGAAGGTGCCGGTGCTGGCGGTTACTCTGGAGCTGGCGGGTACTCCGGCGCTGGTGCTTACTCTGGAGCCGGCAACGCTGGTGCTGGCGCTTACTCCGGTACTGGTGGTAATGGATTCGGTGCCGGCGGTGCCGGCGGTGCTGGTGGCAGCTCATTCGGCGCCGGCCGCATCGGCTCGGGCAGCGGATTCGGACAGAAGCCCTTCGGTGGTGCTGCGTCTCGCCAATACCTCGCCCCCAACGCTGGACCCCGTGGATCCGGATCCGGTAACTTCAACTCCCAAACTGGCTACAGATATTAAAACAAACCTTACAAAATGATGATAGGGAATTTTTATATTAATATGAACTGTTACTTTTATTTTGAGGATTATCACAAATTCAATGTTGATAGATGACCTGATGGTAAAACTTTTTTCTTTACGAATGTTTGGATTATTTTACATTTATAAAATCAATCAAAGTTTCTTAATTATTGAAAGAAGATTGTTATATCTATAATCTAGCTATCAATATTGTCTTTTCATGATTATTAAATTATTATCATTTTCTTTATACCTACTGCAATTTAAGTCTATATTCTGTTTTCTTTAATTCCTCCATCGTCATTTTTAAGATGTTAGAAAGACTCTTACGATACAAGCTTTGAACTGATTATCTAAGGACATGAGATTCTATGACTATTATAACCATGATATTAATAAGTTTCTCTCATATTATGTATATCCTCTTTTGTGTTATACTCATTTGTATGATATTTAAACATACATTTGAGTTGTACACACATTTGTTTCATTTCTTATTAATGTGATCTCAAGACATTCTTGTGTACTTTTTAAAGTTTATGAATACTTGAAAAAGAAAATATGTTTATTTAATATAAGATTTAATACAGCAATGCAAAGGACAGTACTAGAACTAAGAGAAAATATATAAAAAAACTTTTGTACAATGAGTTAGTTATAAGTTTTGTAAATACATTTGAATATATGATTTAAATGCATTATGTTTTTTTTTTGTTTGCCATCTCCAAATTACCAAGTTTTCAACAGTGTAATTGGTTTATTAACTCCCTAACTACACTACATAATTACTATACGATTAATTACTTTAGGAGATCCAAAAGTGTTCCGAATATTTTACCTGTTCTATATAGGCAGCTTTTCTGTTCTTCAATGCTTTAGAAAATATTATATACAAGTGGTTTTACCGCGACTTCATCAGTTTAAATTATAGCCTACTAGCTTTCCGCCAGCGGCTTCGCCCGCGTGGTCTTGTATTATACATAAAAACCTTCCTTTTGGATCATCCTATTTATGAAAAAAAAACCGCAACAAAATCCGTTGTGTACTTTTAAAGATTTAAGCATACATAGGGATTTAGGAACAGAAAAAGTGACTTTGTTTTATACTATGTAGTGTTGTCACTCGCTTGTGATGTAGTTTCACATAGGTGAAAGAATTTTTAAAATCAATCCAGTAGTTTTGGAGCCTATTCTATGCAAATAAATGAACAAACAATAAATCATATCTTTCCTCTTTATAATATTAGTGTTAGTTTAACTTGTTTTTAAAGTTTTCAATTCATTGTATTCAAATGACATTAAGACTTTTTTGTCTGTAATAAGGTGGGTCTATTACAAAAATTTGTAAATAAAATGACTATTATAATCATAATATATTGTCTACAATGATCAAACACATCTCATTTGTACATAGAATCTGAGGTTACTTATCTGGAAATTGTCAAACATTGCACGTTCGTATTCTACTTATGTGAATATGCATTACATTAGGTAAACTATCAAGATATATAAATTTGGTGATTCTTCATACCAATCATATTTATTACTAAGAGTAAGAACACTAATTATAAGTTATTATTAAGTAACTAATGATTTTAACGCAAATGTTTAAATCCATAAGTTAACCGTAGCGTTTATCGCAATTACTGTTATGACATTGGATTTCAATTAAACTGTCATGAAATTAATATTAAAATTGCAAACGTGATGCAAAACACGCAACATGTTAACATTTGCTTTAGACAAATTGATCTATTAAGTAAATTATTCTCATTTACACCATATCTTCGGGGAATCATAACTTTATCATGAGGTATAAAATATATAATAACCAACAGATATGTTATTGAGACATGTTTATTAATTTTTTTTGTATCGTTTACTGATCTAGCTCAAATTCTGGCACGCACTTGTTCTAAATGCCAGAGTAAACATTACTTGTAGGTTTGTCGATGCAATTGTTACATATTTAGCTTGTAGCTTGAATTTAAAAATAACCTCTCTTATACATTTTTCATTTATTTATTATTATTTTTATTGACCCAGAGAAAATGCGTTACGCACTATCCCTGCTACCGGACGAGATGACAGGGTGTGTCGGACTCTCCACCGTTGATCGCGGGGCCTGCCCACTAAAACTCTGGGCATACCCTCCATGGGGAGTGGTACCCGGGAATCCGAGCCACCGAACTTAATACCTAAAACACTTATAAATACCCAAGTGATTACATATGCAAAGTTATGCGCTACCATTTATTTTAGCAACCTGTTTATGTTCCCATTTCCTGGGTACAAGCCTTTTATTGTTAACGCAGATAAATGCTCCTTAGTCCTTAAATCAAGGCCCTTCAGCTTCAGGACCCGGTCCAAGGGACTTGGTGTAAGGTCTTCCAAATGGATAGTGGCATATCGAATCGAATAGGGAGATGCCATGGCCTACCATGTGGGAAGGGTGCGGATTGGTGGGTATTAATTACTGCAGATACAACTGGGATCAACGGTATCATGTGACTTCTGAAGCTCGAGATTTTTTATTTTTCTCTGCCAATACTATGAGTGTACCATTACAAATAAATAATTGTAGAGAAATCTTTTTTCCTATATTTTTATTGTCACGAAAATATTATATGTATACCCGCCGCCTGGTTTATGGAAATTATCTCCGTAGAACTATCCACTGGATATTGCCACTCGATAGATCTGCAGAAACACACCTATTAGAATGAGATCTCGTAACAAAACTGTGGAGGAGCTTTGTAAGACTTGATATTTCAGTATGTTGAAGAATACAGAATACTAGTCGTGAAGAATATAGTTCCGAGTCCAGGTGCTAGAACACCTGGTGGCTGTGACGACAAAAAAACTCCTACTGATTGCTGAATATTTATGTTCCATTAAATGAAAGTCTGGCTATTTTTTTATGACATAAGTACAAATAATTTAACTTTCAATAATTACGAAAATTTATTCGCGGCTCATTTTCAGACCACCTTCAGAGATTTGCCGAGTTGTCACATTTCCTAGGCACTAATTACATTTAAATATATATCATTAGCAAAGGCATATTATTTTAAAGAGACACAGGATTTATTTAATAAAACTACTACCATGACAGAGTGGATCATAGACCGATTTCAAGATTGCCATATCTAAGGTCGATTTTCGACCATCCTCATTACCAGTCTAAGAATGGGAAATGACACACTACACTGGCTTAGTGCGGATTTATGGGTGTTAACGACTGCTTTTGTAGCCGGGACTAACGGCTTAACATACCTTCCAAAACAGCTCGATATAATTATTTTTTTTTCATCCATCCTATGAACGGCCCTTGCGAAAGTTGCTTAAAGACTATACACTTTTTTATTTATTTATGGACATTTGCCTAAATAAAAGTTAAACGTGTTCTTTTTTTACATATTTTTAAATATAATCATAAGAAATAACACTATCACATCTTTGCCTCATATTCTTCTACCGGCGTAAGTCTCGTAAAAAGAGATCCATAGTTGTTTCTAGCTTATATGACATGTACTTATAAAACTAAATTTATCATATTATACAACTAGTGCCATCTCTACATTATAGTAAGAACTATTAAGTTTCAATAGCACGACCTTAAAACTTAAAGACGTACGAGCGGCGCAAGAAATAAAATCTCATTGCACTAGAGACATCAATCTTTTCGGTATAATATTAACGCAGCCAAACGTCAAATACCACTCACTCGTTGATTTTAGGCGTCATTTTTTGATCTTACTTTTTGATCTTAATATTATAAAAAGAAAATAATTAATTGTTTGTTTGTTTTTTTTTTACATCGAATAGGCTCCAAAACTACTGGATCGATTAAAAAAAATACTCCTACGGAAACTACGTCATAGGAGGGTGAGATCAGCTATAATTTACGCGGGCAAAGTAACAGGAAAACAGCTAGTATAAGATAAAAATGTTATATTAATATCACTTAACTACATATCCTTCTCTTTCCTTCGCAGTTAAGTGGATCGTACCCTGGGTTCATGGTGTTTCTGAGGTTTCGGGCTCGACTCTCGCTCGGGTCAATGTATAAAACTATTATTTTTATATTGTCACGGGTTTGGTTGTTGTGGTTCCTTCTTTATTTCTGATACACCTTAATACGAGTTAAACTACTCATCTTGAAATCTGACTAACGAATGTGATTCTAACAATTTTTTTTTATTATTCTTTCCGTGAAAAGGAAATTATTTTGCCCTTCTGTATTCGCTACATTAATGGGAAAAATAGTTATTCAAGTTATATTTAATCGATTATGTATAGTAAAATTTTAGTAATCACAAGCAATCATAGAGAATATTTACAAAGTCAATAAAAAAACGAATAAAAATTAGAATAGAAACAAAAAGGTTTACTGTCTTGAAATAAAAATAAAACTGTATCAATCTACCAATTGAAGCCGCAACATTTTCTTTGTAGATAAAGATTCTCGACTACTATACAGCTCTGTTAACTCATTTTATTTGCTTGTATAGAGAGCAGCATGTCAGATTACTATAACACGTCCGATTTCCAAAATTGATATTGAGCTGTGCTTACAATGTGTTAAGGTATAATATCAATTACAAAAATCGGATAGTTTTCTATAGCTATGACTATACCGTATTATACAGGATGTACTAAAGAACATTATGGCTTTCTCGAATTACACATAAAAATGTGTGTACCAAAATAGAAAATGATAAATCAATTTTCAATACGACGATTTTATTTACGTAATAAAGTAAAGGGAGAAAAGGGCAGTCTTTGCTGAGTTCGTGTCGGCTCATCTTAGTATAAATTCTAATATTTGCGAACTTATGGCATGGACCATGCATATTGCATATGATATAATAGTATGTTTGCTTACGCAAGCACTTTCTAACATTCTATACTTTCATAAAAATTAAATATTGAAAAAAAAAACCAAATTGGTACAATTGTTTTCAAAAAATGCGCATTTCAACGAATAAAGGATAATTTATATATTTATCATAAACATCATTTAATTTAAAATTTTCTATATAAATTATAATTACTAAGCGTCAAGTTTTATGTCCATCAACAGATGATGGACCTCAAAAAAGGTTTTAAATGATCAACAAACAGCAACTTACTTAGTTATAAAAAGGAGATGGCATCATCAATCTTTATAAGGCATCTGCAAGATTCATTTAACCTGTATTTTTACCTGTCAATAGAATCGGCACAAATAGATTTACAGATTTACTCAAACAACTAAAAATGCAAACTTTTATCTTAAAATTTAACAAAGAGAACTATTTTTATACAACTTCAAATATTGTTTTATTTATTACGAGTAAATACCAGTGGCATAACTTCTATACAATTTTGTTTATATGATACTACCATTTTACCAGCTTCAACCGCATAGTCCTGTATTATACATACAAACCTTCCTCTTAAATCACTCTGTATATTGTTGAAAACTCCAATAAAATCCGTTATGTAGTTTAAATGAACTCAACGTACAGTAAAAGAACTCAACATCAACAACAACGGGAAGCAATTTTGTTTTACACTATTTATAAATAATATTAGACAACATCGCATACATTGCTCAAATTCCCAAATGAGTAACTAAGGCCCCCGTATTATAGAGTATCTGAACAATGAAGGTACCACAACATATAGACCTGAGGCAATACATATATTTTGAAAAAAAAAATATCTTGTCGATTTGACTCGTAACTTTTTCACTTTTTTTTAGGCAGCTATTAAAAAGAGATTATTAAGTTTAAATCATCATCGGTTCATAG